TGGGTATATCATGGAGATGGATATGCACATATTTTTTTGGGCAGTGTCCCAGTAATTCCTATACTGCTTTTTGTCTTTCTACAAAGGTCAGTGGCAAATTTGTATTCTATTTTCTTCAGTCACAACATGCCCTGAAGAAACCTGTCTCATTATTGCTAGAATTAAGACACCTCTCACCTCTAGTCACTAGCAGTTTTTGCATTTCAGGGCTGAGTTAGTGATATACATTTTGGTTTTCCAACTTCTATTGAATTGAAGCTATATTGAATAAGTCTAACTTTCCATCATTAGAACTTTTTCGCTCCATAAGATGCACTTTTTTTCCCCAAAAGGTGGGCAAAAATGTCTGTGCGTCTTATGGAGCGAATGTGTGAGAGCTGAGGCGGCAAGAGCTGACTGTGTACCCAGGGGTATGGAATTCCTATTGCCCGACTTCTGAGACATGCAGTTTCGGGCATCGGGCGAGTCGTTTTTTTGTACATTTAGACCTGCTCCGGACAAGCAGAGCTAAATGTATAGTGTGGAGCCGCCGCTCGTTTTCATACAAGTGATCTCATTAGATCACTTGTATGAAAGGAGCAGCGATCCTGCCCGTCCCCCCCCCCCCCTTCCCGGGTGTTTGGGGGTCCCCCCCCCCGGGGTCCCCGCTCCTCGGGGACCCGTGAGCGCGGCATAGTAGCTCACCGTAGAGCAGACTAAGAACGCCCGTTCTTCATCTGCTCTGTGATCACTGAGACCGTGGCGCTGTAATCACAGCGCCACCTGTCTCACCTGTCAGGAACTACACAGAACCCTACCCTCCTTAGGTGTGTCTTATGGTCAGGTGCACTTTATGGAGCGAAAAATACCGTACATTTTTACTGTGCCAAACTTAATTATGGGTACACCAGCACTCCTACTGGAGTGTGGTGCTAAAAGATTAGAAGTCACAATTTTAACTTGCATTAAGATAGGAAGAGGCAAACACACACTCTTGCTATAACAAACCTAATTTCATAACGGAGAACTCTTGAACATAATTTAGGAAGTTGTAATCACAAGCTAGTCTGTTTCTGTGTAAGCAAAAATGTATTTTCTTAATGTTCTTGTTTTTGTTTCAGAGAAGTGTATCAGAAAATTGCTTAGTTGCCATGGATTTCTCTGGGCAGACAGGGAGGGTTATCGAAAATCCTTTAGAAGCACAAAGTGCTGCAGTCGAAGAAGGTCACGCGTGGAGGGTAAATGTCTCCCTGCATCATTGTGCTTTTAATCTTAAAAGGACTGAAAGACTAATATTTGAAGTGCAACGTTTTGCAAGACAATAGTTAATTGCCAAGTATATTTAGGAATTCAACATGTTTGTTCTCACTATTTTAGTGTGTTCCTGAACCTGTGGCCTAAATTATCATGGCTAGTAATTGGTTGAAGCCAATAGAATCTCATATTGGACCAAATTGTATTTTTTGTCCAAAACACCATATATGGGGGAGAAAAAGGTCAATAACAAATTGCTGTCTTAAAGGAGAACTATGGGGTTAAGGCTTTTCCCCATAGTTCTCCTTAGGGTAACGGGAGGACACAACTAGCGTCCTCCCATCACCCTAAGTTTAGTATACCGTGAGCTGCAGCTCGCGGTATTCTGAGATGCCACAGTATACTGCGTTTTGCAGCTCGCGGTATACTGAGACGCTGCAGCTGAAGCGGATCCTGACAATTTTATGTCTGGATCCGCCAGCTGTGTGAGTGACAGCTGGCTCTGCCTATCTAGAGGCAGAGCCAGCTGTACCCGCCCCCTCCCCGTCCGATCCGCCAGTCAGCGCCTGCAGGGAGGGGGGAATCCAGCCCCTCCCCTGTCACGGCAGAGAGCTGTGACAGGATCGAGAGGTGAGCGAACGCCGGTATGTGTTTGCTCACTTCCCGATCTACTGCGCCGACCTGTGACAGTCTCATTGTCACAGGTCGCCTAGAACTATGAGGTGAGTGAAAAGTTCTCCTTTTTTTAAGTATATTTGAAATACCTATTTAGATTGTAACAGCACCCCTAAGCCACTCGTGATTTAAAGCATAACTGTATTTTCAGGAAGACATTTTTTTTTTAAAAATCCAGAGTACTGCAAATGGAACTGGTTTTTTTTTCGGGAGTTCCACTTTAACCGGTTGAAGACCAGGTGTTTAGACCCCCTTCCTGGCCAGGCCATTTTTCAGTGTTCAGCGCTGCAGTACTTCTATGGCATTGGAAGCTCCAATATATTACATTTTTTCTTAGGTTGATATGCATGCGTTGGGATGGCCATCTTAGTAAACGCAGGGCTTTTGCTTCCTTATGGCAGAGCCTCCAGCAAAAACAGTGAGCAGCATAGTAGCAACATCACCAAAATTCCCTCCACATTTCCTGAGACTACCAGTCAAAGGCAGCAGTGCTTTATATCTCACACTGCAGATATACAGTTATCAGACTGTAGGTGCAGGAGTGCATAGGCACCCTTGCATACCAGGAAATGAACTGCAATTTGTGAGAAGGAATTCAAGACAAAATGTGTGTTTTTCTGCTTAGGCATAATTAACATTTCAAAATTTTTCCTATACCATAGCAAATCTTTTTCTTTTTCCACTGTAAGGTTAAAGTGTAAGTTCAGTTCCACTTTAACCAGTTGACATCCGCGGTATTAAACCCCCTTCCCATCCAGGCCATTTTTCCGTATTCAGCGCTGCGGCACTTTGACTGACATTTATTCCGTCATGCAACGCTGTACTGAAACAAATTTTATACCATTTTTTGGGGGACAGATAGAGCTTTCTTTTGGTGGTATTTATTCACCACTGGGGTTTTATTTTTTACTATATTCAGGAGAAATTACTGAAATTCAGGAGAAATTTACATTATGTTATAAAACAACTAATATTACCCACTTTTTTTGGTAAAATATAAAAGACGGGGTCACGTCGGGTAAATAGACACCAAACATGTCAAGCTTAAAAATTGGGCGCACTTGCAAAATCGCAAAAAACTAGCATACCCAAAATTGGCCATAGGCAACGCTTTAAAAGCTTTTACCGCTCATCAGTTTAGTGTTATCAGTGATTGATGGCCCTAGAACTATTGCTCTCATTCCGACGTTCGCGGCGATATGCAACGTGTGGCGTAACGGGCGCAATCGTCGTTTTCGCAGGTGTGTGTACCTGGCGCATGTTTACATGTGTGTATGTAGGGGTGGGGACTTTTAAAAAATTTGGGGGGAAACTTAAAAATGTTTTACTATTTTTTTTCAATAGCTTATAGCTGGGCTATAGTCACCGGGAGTCTGTTTAAACAGCCCCGATGCTGGCGACGTCAGTCACGAAGGGGTTAACGGGCATCGCTGCCTCTTTTCAAATAGCGGGGATTTCCCGCTCGCCCGAGGAGGCGGATGTAACAGGACGTGTATACACGCCCAGTTACATCCAAGAAGCGGCCGGCCGTGTATACACAGCGGCTGGCCGGGAGGTAGTTAAAGGACATTTTCCACCTTTTGTGGTAAAAAAAACATGCCAGCAATGTATACAGAGTGTAGATGATGCCGGCATATGCAGATCCTGGATAAAACACAAAAAATTACTTTTTTTTTTTCCCCCTCCCACAATGCTTTGCTTCTCTCATGCACGTGCATCATTAATATTCATAGTGGTACCACTACCCCAGAGCAGTGCAGAGTGACCATGAGATTTTATTTATTTTTTTAACCTGTGACTACAGTTGGAGGATTGTTGTGATTGCTAAAGAAATTTGTTATATTCTGTCTCCAGTAATCACTCGGAACAAAATATAACAGATTTCTTCCTCCAACTGTAGTCGCCTCTCCCGGTCACTCGGCACTGTCCCCGGACAATATATAATGTGATTTACACCGTGCTGTGAGACTGATATACCTCCCCCCGATGTTCAACTAAATCATTCCAAGTCATCCACAGTGTACCTATTATACACAAACGGGTGGATGTTAAATATACAACAGACCCCGCACATTCTCCGGTGATGCTGCACAATCCCAGTGACACCGCACAGTGGAGGGATCGGACAACATCTGGAGCAGATTTGCACTGCAGCCAATCAGCATCTTTTTCAAATCTTACCTGAGCAAACAAAGACGCTGATTGGCTGCCATGAGCAACTGCTCCAGATTCCGTCTACTCCAGTTTTGATAAATTCCCCCCCAGTGTCTTTTTAATCTGTTCCAACAGTCATCAATAAATGACAAGAATGGTGGGGGGAGGGGGTCACATTGAGAAACCTGGACTTGGGGCAGCAGAGTAAATGTGGCCCTGGAGATCAGAGAGAAGGTCTACAGACACAACAAGTGCAAGCGAAGCGCAGAGCTATGATGAGATGTTATGGTGACTCATAGGGAGTTCTCTCTCCTCAGAGCCGAGTGTGTGTGCTCATTCATGAGGAGGGGTGAGGGTTCAGCACACTGAGCTCAGAAGAGCAGAGAGGAATCAGCTGATTGCAGTTTACAGATAACAACCTGACCCTCAGGGCCTTTTCACACCATCAGACCAGATCTGCATGAGTTTCTGCAGGGTTTTGCTGCGGTTTTTTTTACGCGTTCAGGGATGTTTTTGTAAGAAAACAAATATATAAAATGGGCTTTCAGTTTGTTCCAGGGTGTTTGCATGCTTTTTTTTATGCGTTCCAGAGCAGATAAAATAGGGCTTGATGCAGTTTTTTTTTATTTTTTACATGCTCTGGAACTGAACTGTGAACTAGAGCCCAAAATACCATTGGAATACATTGGATGCAGTTTTGATCCGGTGTGTAACTGCTCTGCTCCTGGAACGCTCTTGGTTTGAACTAGCCCTTAGAGAGAAGGATTGAAGATCCTGTGGAGGGAATTTTGCATTTCTAGAAATCTGGCCTGTGAAAGAGTCTATTAAATAAAGTGTGAAAAACAGCCCTTTGACTCATGACAATGCGCGCACACACACACACAACACCGCCCCTGCACCTCTATATTATTGCAAACACAGATCACTTACAAAGGTGGAAATGCGCTTTAAGCCACTATTATACAATTTGTAACACTCTGTTCCAGATTTCCTACATGTATAAAAGTGATCCCAGTTTGAGTCCGGTCTCTGGGCAGCAGAGTGCACAGCCAAACCAATGTGCTTTGTATGATAGCAGTGGTCTCTGTTGCAGTCCCACACATGCCTGCTGGCTCAAAGCTGTACAACTGGCCAAATTTCCTCCATCGGGCAGACTAGAAACATTTTGTTGAAACGAAAATCGATGGATTAGTGGTCTTTTTATACAACAAAAGTCACAACAGGAACACTACACACGATAATAAAAAATCACCTACACTCCATGCAGCATACAGACCTTGATGAATGGTTGGTGCTTGAAGTGATGACACAGATGACGCCGTGTCAGATAGTCACTATGTCGCCCAGAAGAAGGGACCCTGCGTGGCCCGGAAACGTGTTGACATTTTTGCTGTGTGATTCTTCCACGTCAGTAATATACTTTCTTACAAAGTGCACCCACACATTATATATTATTTTTTAGAGGACAGATACACACGTGATATAAATATGTAGCCCTAACTCCTCACCTAGGACAAATAAAATATAAAAAAAGAGGAAAAAACGTTTAAAAAAAAAAAAACTTTTTCCCAGTTTTGATTTGTAGTATTTTTTACAAAACCAGCACCGCTAAAAAAATTCAATAATATAGTCATTTATTTGTCCTTTTATTTTTTTTTTTACTTTTTTTAAAACTTATTTTATTTAATTATATCAAGCAGTCATTGTGAATTAATCTCACTATTACTGCTTGATTAATACATTTTTGATTATTATTAGGCTGCTTCAAACTTCAGAACAGCCAATAAGTTAGTGACACTGATACTGCAGCAGTTCAGGATTCAGCTGTCACTAAAGGTTTTCTGATCGTTACGATCAGAAAACTGAAACATTCTTCTTTCAGGAATAGATACATTATGTATCCCTGAAAGTGAAAGAAAAAAAAAGCCAGTATACGATCGAGAGAGATCTCTAGAGATCTATACGAGCTGTCAGAGCTGGCATGCCCGCTCTGCTTTGACTCTCAGACACCCGATATTAAGGTATCGGGTGTCTGGAAAAGGTTAACCCTTTAATGGATGCCCATATACTGATTCTCAGTGGTTACCAGCCCTCTAATGCAGCAAATAACTCATCACGTACACTGTACGTGAAGAGTCATTTGATCCCTTTGTGGCGGGACGTACAGTGTACGTCTCCCGTCACGAAGGGGTTAAGGAACACTGCACATGCGCAAACAAGCAAAACAAAAACAAATGGTAGTTAGTATTGCTAAGAAACGATTATAGCAAGCAGCATTGGTTTGTGCATGATGGGCTATTTGAGGGGAAATTGAACGAGGGTGTGATGACGGGACAAAATTGTACGATAATTATAAGGTGTATGGCCAGCAAATTAAGCTATACTACCCAACTTCAGTGCAAAATTCTGTAGTGGCTATAAAAGTACTGAACTGCCTCTGTAGCTCATTTGAGAGCAAAGGACTATTCACCAGTATGGCCTGGTCTTCCAGCAGCTGATTTGTCCCATTGCTGATTTGCCGTGCTTTGTTCTGGTAAGTCTCACACCAAATCTTGTGAGACTAGCATATTAGCTGGCCATACATTGTTGGACTTTCCCTTTTAATGTCATTATTGAATGTTCTGACCAGATTTTCAGAATGACCGTTCAAAGACTTGACAAATGTTTGAAATCTAGTCTGAGGTTTTGTTTTTTTTAAACATTTGATTTTGGAATAGTTTCCCGAGTGCTCTGAAAACCTTTTTTTTTTTTTCAAACAAAATTCTATTGGTGTATGGCCAGCAATGCCTTAGATCGCGCACTGCAGATATACTGCTGGGAGGATGTATGCACAGTAGTGTCAAGGCAGCCTCACAAACCACGGAATGCACTATTTCATAGGAATAATTCTAGACAAAAAAGGTAGATTGTTCAGTGTATTGCTTTGGCAATTGACATTTCTAGAGGTCCCCTGTAACAGCAAATCTTCACTTTGTCTAGAAAAAAAGTGATATCGGTGCATTCCTAATTTAAAGTGGATGTCAACACAAAGTAAAAGTATCCATGCTATCAAGTATTGGCCGAGAGCAATTACCGGTAACTTTTTTAGCATCATGTGACATTTTCTCTAAAACGATAGACTAATGATTTTAGGACAGTGGTGAAACACCAGAGCCCATTCACAGCTGCAACTTCTGCAACCCTGATAGTTCTGCCACGAACTACAAATCCCAGCAATACATTATACAGCAATGCAGAGTACCATCAGCTATTGAGAACTACAAATCCTAGCAATCCATTATACAGCAGTGCAGAATAATATGAAGCTACATACTGTGCACCACGGTTTCACTGGGGAGATGTATGGCCGGACAAGGGCTGTCAGACAGCCACCCTGAGGTGTCAAGGTCAGGCAGCTGAATCGATTAAAAAATTTAAATCACCAGTATCGGCACTTGGTATCAAGGCATTTTCACGAGTGCCTTGTATCAGCATCAGTGCATCCCTACTTTAAATGCTTTTGGATTGAAGTTGTTTGAAGACTAGTAGATTTTTCAGGGTGGAGTGTTGGATATGGTGTAAAATATAGTTGTTTGGAAACCATTCCACCAGCAAGACCTGACATCTAACACTTAGCTGGTTCCTCGATATCCATGCCTCCAATGAGATGCCTTGTCCCATTTATTCTTTGTACCAGGCTGTTCTGGCAGAACTGCTCAACAGTTCAATGTATTGATGAATTCAAATGTGATGTTAAGTTCCAGGGTAATTAAATCATTTGTGATCAGACCATTTTGAACTATTGGTATGCTCCAGTTTACTCAACAACTTAACCACTTTTCACATCAAACTTATTTTCACATATGGTGCCTCAATTTAATAAAAAAAATTTAAATACCCTAAATTAGTTTTTTATAATCAGAGAAAGGGGAGAAAAAAAATGCAGTTTTTAGTTTAATGTGTTTTCTTGTTTGTGTAATTAATGCTATTCCAAACATGATTTTTTATTTTTTTTTCTGCAGATTAGTGCCTTGAAATGTGTAGTCTTTGATGCATAGGTTGGTGCCATGTGCAAATAAGTTGCATATATTTTAGATTTCTAGATATTAGCCTCTTGCTATAACTGACTGTCCGGCCTGGAAGTAATTAAAAGAGAACTATGAGGTGAGTGATTTCCACTCATCCTCATAGTTGTAGCCGACCTGTGACAAAGAAGCTGTCACAGGTCGGCTCTATTGATCGGGAAGTGAGCAGAAACATGCAGCTGATCCGCTCACTTCCCAATCGTCTCCCTGCAGTGAGCGGTGACTGTCAGTCATTGCTCCCCGCAGGGATTCTCCCTTTCCCCTCTCCGATCCTCCAACGCTGAGTGAAGGAACGAACAGGGGAGGGGGCAGGCATAGCTGGCTCTGCCTCTAGATAGGCAGAGCCAGCTGTCACTCAGCTGGGTGGATCACGACAATATTGTCGCTCCGTCCCGGCTGCGGTGCACAGTATGCTCGCAATATACCGAGATTTGGGTCACGGGAGCAGATTTAGTAAATGTCCTCCCATGACCCTAACGAGAACTAAGGGGAAAAAACGCTTACCTCCTAGTTCTTTAACCTATTCACCATAGCCTTGATGTACATTAAATTGACAAATTGTTGACTTTTAATAAATATTTCTAGGCTCAAAATTGGGTCGCTTGTCAAATGACAAAATATAGGAAACGCATAAAACAGTTTCAACTCATTAATTTAAAGTTGGAACTAGAACAATAAAGCAATATAATCTGCGATCTTACCCTTGCCAACAAAAAAAATAAAAGCAGCCGCAAGTGCAATAGTGAACAAATCCACTCGCAACATAAGAACAAAAAAAACTGCGCTTAATATAAAAATAATATCTTCCCCCCTTAAATCCACAGTAGTAAAACAAAGTCCAGTGTTCAATATAAAGTGCTCCCCAAATTATGGCACAATTTTCCTCCTGTTCGAGGGGGGCACTTTTCACCCAAAAAAATGGGCTGAAAATCTCGGCTTATACTCGAGTATGTACGGTAATCTACAGTCATGGCCAAAAATATTGGCACCCCTGCATTTGTCAGATAATGCACTACTTCAAGCAGAAAATTGTTGGAATTACAAATGTTTAGGCTTTCTCATGTTTATTTCTTTTGTTTTGGCTTTTTTCCTCAACTGTTGTGTCATAACAAATCTGAAACATTCCACGCAAAACTCCAAAAAATGGACTGGACAAAATTATTGGCACCCTCAATTAATATTTGGTAGCACAGCCCTTGGAAAAAAAACATCAAAGCTATCCTGGCTCTGCATCTAAGAGTGATGCCTGTGACTGTCAGGGTCTTGCAATGCCTTATATGACTTGTAGTTGCACAACAGCAGAGTTTGGATACCCCTGGCCTTGAGCTTTCCCATTTAGGAAACTGCTTCTCATCCAGCTTCCACACTGATAAGACCTTATCCTTGGTATTGCCTTTCTGCTCATGTTCTATTTAAGTAAACCGAAAATATAACACATTTGATAGGACAATACAGTGCCTCTAGGATAAGTTAAACTAGTTGGTCAATTTAATTTATCTCTTCCTATATCCACTTTTTAGCAGGTGTTTGTGTATATTGTTAGATGTGTTCTGTGTATAATGTTGTTGCTGTGTTTTTTATTTTATTTTGATTGTGCTTTTTAGGCTCATTAGATGTATTTTGTCTTGTAGAAACGCAGTTCACGGATGAATGTTTTAGGAAGCCAAAGTCCACTTCATCCTTCTACACTTAGCACAGGTAACTTAACCTTTCATTTTATTTTATTTTTTAAATGGTTCAATTGTCCTGCTTTTTACTGCAAACTATTTGTTTTTTTTAGTTATTCATAGGACACAACCTTGGTTCCATGGTAGAATATCTAGAGAGGAATCGCAAACGATCATTAAACAACAAGGGCTTGTGGATGGGTAAGATTTAAAAAAAAAATGTGTGTGTGTATATATCTATATCTCCTTCAGTCACTTGAAATTCATTTTGGGAAACAAAAAGGCTTAAAATGTCTGGCCAGTACAACTCACTGATCTTTGCTGGTTATTTAAAGGCCTGAATAGTAGATGAGAACTCCCAATGTTTTTCACGAGTTTCTGTACATCTGCCACTTAGCTGAAGATAAGTGATAGCGGTGGTGCTTAATGACATCCCATAACTTCAATAGAAACGTTTTTGGTGTACAATTAAAACATTGAGCAGAGTTGTCAGCCTTCTGATCTATACTGTAAATACAATGAGGTCCACAGGAGTGAGAAAAAAATGCTAGGACCCAACTTGAGTAAGGTAATTTAAAAACTTATTTTAAAACTCCAGGCAGCGATGGAATAATTACAATTGTAGACTTCCCCAACTGATTAAGGTGATGATCGGACACAGTAAAAGTTGAACTGACTTTGTTGCCATCTCACAGATGTAATCCGATTCAATGCAGGACTAGCGGCCACATCTGCCCATCATGTGGCTTTTAGACCTGCATTGTGCGTTATTTAGGATTGGCAGCTTACATTTCAGCACTGAGGAGAGTAAAAAGGCAAACAGCCACATGACCATGGGATAAGGCGAGTATTACTCGGTTTTGCTTAATTCCCTAGGAAAACAAGCAATATGTTCTTTAACTGTTGGGGAGGAGGCTAATTGTTAGCCTGGAGTTGGCGTTGGGCTTTAGGGCCCATTCACACCACATCCAGTTCATCACCAGACCATATTGTTTCCGGACCCAAAATGCATCCTAATGTATCCCTATGCTATTTCTGGCCTCTGTTCACACCAACAGGCTGTTCCAGACCAGAAAAATACTGCATGTCTCATTTTGTCTGGTCTGGAATGCACACACTGCGGGAGGTTCACACCATTTTCCAGACCAGTTCTGGTCCGGAAAATGGTGTGAACCTGCCCTTTAAAGCCTATTTACTGCTTGTAACAAAAAAGTACCTGTTGGTCTTGATTTCCCCCTGAAAAATGACAAAGTACTTCTTGGCATGTGAGGGTGCATGTAGCCTCATAGGTGTATATCTGCTGTGCGAGATCTAAAGTATCTGAAGCGTGAGTTGCCTTAGTACCTACAGCCTCATGGATGTATATCTGCAGTGTGGAAACTAAGTCGCTGCTGCTTCTCACTGCTAGTCTCAGATTAGGAGGAAGCAAAACCTGCCTGTGCCAAAATGGAAAAAAAAAATCAGCTTCAGGGAAACCACGGGTAATACTGGTGACTAGTTCTTTTGCCCTCTGCCTAACACTTTTGGGCACAGCTTCCGGAGTTGAGTTTCTCTTGAGTATGCAAATATCAAAATATTATATCCTGGCCCCACATTCCTCCACAAATCCTTTTTTTTTTTTTTGTGAATTTTGGTTAACCTTGTCCGTGACTCTGCATTCTAATTCATGATGTAACAACCCACATACCATGAGCTATCTGGATATACGTCCACGTAAGTGGATCTTAGTGTGGAGTTCAGTGCACCATTTCTGTCCCTGGTGGGCATATCTTTCAATGTTTATGCTCTCCACCTCTTGATACTCGTTAGTCTTTGCATTAATGTTTAAAACAGCAACATTGAGGCTATGCAATTCTCTTTGCAATATAGTACATACTAAAGTGCATCTAAGCCAAAACTCTTCCCTTTGGATGGAGTAGGGAATGACTCTCTCCAAAGTTGGGAGGAATCTTGGACAGTTGTCATTGAAAAACCTCCCTTTTCAGGTGACAGTGGTCACTAAGATAAATGGGTGAGAGGGGCTGACTCTCCCCAGCGGGTACACACAGCAGATACAAACCTGAGAAATGGTATACTTACCACTCAACCCCCAAACTGTAAAAAAAAAAAAACTGGCTGTAGATATAAAGGAACATATTTCAGTTTTAACTACTTCTTTAAAAGTAGGAGTCTGACGGTTGTCTGCTATATGCTCAAATATAAACTGCTACTTGAACCACTCCTCTAAAGACCCAAGTTTTATTTCTAATATATGATCTATAATGAGTGAATACGTTTGTGAGAAATGTGTTTGTACACTTTTTTAAAAGTGTACAGCCAAAATGTAGAGGGGTTAAATCCCCATCTGCAAAATTTTCTTTAAAATGCAGTCAGTCACTACAGAAAGTGAGAAGAAATCTCTACAAAGTGAGGGAAATTCCTCCGACAGTTGTCACCAGATCTGATGTAAATTTATATCTCTTAAATGGAGACTTCTGGTGACTCAAACTTTGAATTTTCCATCCCTGTAACATGGTCACCAGGAGGGCAGGATCTCCCCAGTGGAGACTGTTGAGGATTATAATCCTTCCTTTCTATAGATTTGGCTGTACAAACATTTTACATGTAATATGTTGTAATTTTTTTTAACTAAAAATGATTAGACCAAATTTATTTTCAGACTTTTTCTCCTACGAGACAGTCAAAGTAATCCAAAGGCATTTGTGCTTACACTGTGTCATCACCAGAAAATAAAGCATTTCCAGATTTTACCTGTAAGTATTGCATATCCATGGCATTTCCTCCTTCCACTTCATCTGATTTATTCTCTTGTTCCTTTTTGTTAATATGTAGGATAGTGCTTTAAAACAAGGAACTATGGAAAAATAATGACTTGCTTTGCAATGGAAAATCCGTTAACTTGCATTCCTGAACTTGACATCGCAGATTGTCTGTGCACATCGTATAATTTCAGCTTTCAAGATGCACACGCTAGCTTTCGCAGTAGAGCTTCCTATAATAAATGACATTGTGCATAGGTTTCTGGAATTATTTGTATTTCCACTGTTTATCATGTGCAGTTTGGTTTATATTGGTGTCAATAACTAGTTTTTGGCCTACAGAAGGCACCATGGTCAATGTTAAAACGTGCTGTCCTCTTGAACAAAAAGTGATGCATCCAGGCCCATAATGCAATTTGTGCTATGTTGTTGAAATTAAACTCGAGCGTTGTATAAATTACACAAATGAATGCAGCTCTGCATTCATTAATAGATTCAATTTACAGTTCTGTGTTCAGTGTTACACCTCTAAATGTATTTTTTTTCAAATGGAAGCAGGAAATTACCTGAATTTGATCCGATACCTGCCTTTTATTCTCTGTACACTGGCTCAGACTGGTAGGGATGCCCAACACAAAAAGCCAATCTAATGCAAGGAACATACGAACAGAAGAGAGAAGAGTTAAGTTATCTGTAAACATTGAACTTAACCCTGCCCTATACTAACTCCGTATTGGTTAATGAGGCATCACATTACATAACGTGATAAAAGTAGGGCAGGATAGGCTGGACTAAGTCATGATGTGCATCAAACCTTTGCTTCCTAGATCTCTGGATTTACTGAAGTGTTCTGAATTGTGCTTTTCACTAAACGTAACATATGCTTCTTGGTCAGTTTTGTAACACTTGTGTTACATTTTTTAATAGTATCAGTACTTGGAATTTCATTGTTTATGCCTACGGGGAATGGGAGAGGATCAGACATTTTTACTGCTTGTTGGGTCTCTATTAAGGTGCCCATACACTGCCCGATTCTCGTACGAGAATCGCGTGACATCCCGCGATCGTACGAGAATCGTGCAGTGTATGGAAGGGGTGCGACCGGTTCTAATGTACGGTCGCATTACTTTTTTGTATATCAAGCATGTTGGAAAACCAGCCGAGGATCGTACGATTTTCGGCTAGTTTTTAACATGATCGAGAGATCACTGCCAAACGGGCCGGTGTGCGCACGCTGCCCGTTCAGCATTGCGGTAATCGGAAGCCTGCCCCTCGGGGCCGGCTTGCGATCGCATGTACGATCTGCCTGTCCAAGATGGGCAGATCGTACGTTTTATTAAGTACTTTACAACCCTTGCAAGACAAAAGTCTTGCGAGGGTTGTAGAGTGTATGGGAACCTTTTTGGAGGGATGCCCTCCAAAGGCACAGTGGCAATGGTTTCATCAGACAGGAATTGAGGAAAAAGATAAACCGCAATAAAAAGTTAGCAAGGGTTGTAGCCCTGTGAAACCATTGTTACCAGGACAGCAATTGAGGTGAAATCTCTCTAATGGAGGCCTGAAAAGTACTTGCAATTTTAATTTGCGTGGGATTTTTTTTTCATCTTTTCAGTTTCAATTACTAGGACTGAGTCATCGATTTTGTTGCCCAATTACTGATATTTTGAACAGAAAAGTTTGCTTTAGAATACCTAGTATGCATTTTACATCTTGAACTTTGTGTTTGCTTCCAGTGTGAAGATGATGGGCAATTGTTCTTTAGCCTTGATGATGGCAATACCAAATTCACAGATTTAATTCAGCTTGTTGAGTTTTATCAGCTAAACAAAGGAGTCCTACCTTGCAAGCTCAAGCACCACTGCATCATAGTGGCCTTATGACATTCAAGAAAAGACTATTTGGAAACCGTAATGCTGGGATGACCGTGTTATGATGGGGGGTATAGAGTTTTGTGTTTAAACGTGCACCTTCTGACTCTGGATTAATTAACTGGTGCCAATTTATCACAATTGGCTGGTTTCTTGCAGATCAGCCAAGCACCTCCCATGCTTTTATCTAATTAGATGGGGTGGTTTGTAGACTGAAAAACTTAAATTCAAAACGGCTGGAAATGTTTAGGCTGGGCTGCTTTCCAGAAAAAAAAAAGCCTTGAACAATATTCTTGCAAATGATTGGAAGATTGCTTAGCAAGAAAAGGGTGGGAATAAGGACTATTGCCCTGGAATAATCTTGACAAGACTGGTGTGTTTACTTTTTTTAAAAATTGAAATACATTTTTGCACTCCTGTTTTGGTTTTTGTTTGCGTTTTTTGCGGGTTTTTTTTTTTGTATATGGTTTGCAGCTTTTGTAAAGGGGCTAGTGTGGCATTTAAATCACCAAACAGTTTGAAAAACTGTCATATGCTACAACCTAAAATGATTACGGAGAAGAAACAATCAAGAACTTTCTGACGAGACTTGTGCTCCTGACACCTGCACGCATCTTTTAGAAGCTTACTTGGAAACTGCAGCAAACCCAGTTTTTTTTTTTTTTTTCTTTCTATCCACCAAAAGCAAAATGGCTGTTATGTCTGTCCTATTAAGCTTGAGTCTGTAGTTATAACTATGCATAAATGTCTGAACTATTTGTCTAGTCATCCTATCTTGTTTATCAGGAAGTCATTGTTATCATGCAGTGGAGGGCAAGGTGACCATGGCCATTCAGAATATGCCAAGTATTGTGAAAAAGGTCAACCTGGAATAACAAAAAGTTTTTAAATTCTTTCTGTTTTTTGTACTTGTATTCTTTCTGTAGTGTTTCAAACACCCGTAAAGCTACCACTGCTAAAGGGGATTACAGTGATGCTTTTATTGGGATCTTGTTGTAATATAGGACAGGTTTAAAGAATCAAGTTTAATAATTCTAACAGATCCTGTTAACAGAAGAATAAAATTCAGTGCTAGATTTACTTGGGAATTCATCATGACCGTAACAAAGTTTCCTTGAAGCATATCAGCTGTACTATACAACTACAGTATAGAAACACTGTATTTTTGATTATGGAGCACATTGTCACTACTTTATTCCATGTATTTGCCTTGTATAAAATGAAGAAACTTTTGTTTTTTATTTTCTAGTGTGGGGGGGGGGGGGGGGGGGAATCCTGTGACTAGTATCGTTTTTTTTTACCAGTTTTCAGTCTCTATTCTGTATTGGTAAAATGTATTACTTGTCTGCTTAGAACAGTTTGTTTTGTGAAGTGATACTAAAGCTCCCAAAATTCTGAGAAATCCTGCTCTTTCCACCTTTCGTTTCAGGTGAATATTTTAGGTGACTATGCCTCTCTATTCGGATAATTTAGGTATAGGAGACAAATTACAAAAAAATAAACAAAAAAACATCACCTTGAAAAACAGATACATGGAAGCTTTAGCTGTTGCTCATGTTTAGGAGTGTATTAACTTTAAGAATTGTATGCATGTACTTAATAAAAAGAGCAAGGTTATTCAAACATTGGCCTGTTTCTTGATTACATGCTAGACAGATTCCACTGTGATGGCCAAAAAATGTTTTGTCTGGTAAAAAGCATACAAAAGAAACAAAAACAAATGCCTGCTGACATAAATGGACACTGACCTTTAGTGTCAGTCATCTAATTTTTAGTTTTCACATTGGAACAGAAATTTCAACTGTTAACCCCTCTATAATTTTTCCTATGTTTAATATTTACCGATACAAACTAGGTTTAAAATCAAGAACCTTTTACATTCTTGACTATTTAAACCCTTTATCTCTACTTGATTATATGTTGACTGTGACTGTTAAAAATGATGTTGACTGTTACCTCTCTGCATTTGTATCTAGTGCCTAGTAATTAATCATTTTACACTTTTTCCAGTTTTTACTTGTAATTTGTTCTGTCTAGTTACTACCTATTGACCAGGGCAGTACTGTGAAGTATGCTGGTGTTGCCAAATGTACTTTTTTCCTTTTTCAGTTTCTTTTTTTTAAAGAATTCAGTGAAGTACAGTGGGGCAGTTTTACACACCTAAATAGTGCTTCAAACGAAGAATTGTAAGCATTTGATCCAGGTGTGTTATGGAAAGTTTAGCATTTCTTGACAATATGTGTGGATTTTCTTCATTTTGTCTCAATCGTGTATTTTAAAATTAAAACTGAAAGCTTGAATCAAACTGTTGTATTAGACTATCAAAATGGAGGTAACGTATTAAAAACTGCACAAAATAAAAATTGCCTTTTTTGATTAGAGATCCCAAATAGATTCCATCTGTGTATGCTTTAGTACAGATTAGAAAGAGGCATTAGAGATTGGTTGCAAAGAGCAACCATGCATTTTCCTCCATCTTTTGCATTTCTGCGCACTATAATGTGCCTGTATAGCTAGGTTATTCTACTAGCTGAAGTAACTGAAATGTTTTAATGCCTAGCCATATTCTGTATAATAAAGGTCATGTCATTTACCAAGTCTGAATGTGCCATGAAAAAGGCAGTGGCAAATTAGCTGTCCTATAAAAGATGCCATGGCTGCCAGAAGGGTATTAATGGCGTATGTTTGTGAAAAATCTGGTTTTCTGAGTCATGGATTTGTTAGCATCATAAGAATTCCATTGTGGTGGTGTCTTGCATTGTACATGAAACAGACTAACCGCTAAATGTTTTGTGACCTTACGAGACCAATGAATAGATGTGCTCTTACACCACCACCACCACATGTAGCATTCACTGCAAAATTCATTGTAAACAAACCATGGGCACAGCGTGCTGGTTTACTGCCATTCATGGCTAGTTCATTTTATCATTTTTGTATTTACTGTGTATAAAGAGACTGAGGTTTGTTTTCCAATCATATTTCCCATCTTTTGACCTGGGTTATAAATGAGTAGTTTGTAAACACCATTGCAGAAGCCTTTCACTCCCCTTTCACTCCCCTTTCACTCCCCTTTCACTCCCCTTTCACTCCCCTTTCACTCCCCTTTCACTAGAAAGAGGAATCTAATGTGTGCTCTGGCAATGCAGGAAATCTAATTGTGCTACATAGAAGAACCTTGTGCTACATAGAAGAACCTTGTGCTACATAGAAGAACCTTGTATTGCATGTATGTACAGTCTGTAGTGCTTTGGATGACCATGTATTACAAACATGTACAGAGCTTGTATATGAAATGTATGCCTTAGTGAAAAGCAGGTAGTGTCATTAATCGGTGTATTTCAAATGTTGAGCACAGACATTTGCATTACTATGGGAGTGGTTCCCTCACTATCTGCGGCAAACTGAATTATTGCCCTCTTTAGAATACTCAATTATATTCTGTAATTTGTATTTTAAAGGGTAGGGTGTATGCAGTTATTTTTCTCTCCACAGTCACACAGTTGGGTCATATTAGTCTAACTACAATTTAAAGAAACTGATGTACACCAATTATGCTATTTTTATTTCATTTATATTTTTTTAATACATTCAACCCACTGAACTGTGAATTAACAGAAAAGCTTAGGGGTATATCAATTTTCTCACCTAAGATTCACGCAAGAGTCTGAGTTTATTTGGAAAATTCTGTGACCGTTGTGTGAAATCACTTATAAATGGACCGCTTAGTGTTTTGGAGTAGATGTGCATGACAACCAATCAGCTTCTGTTTTCAAATCTTAACTGAACAAACTAGAGAGAAGCTGATTGGTTGCTATGCACAGCTGCTCCAGTTTTGATAAATTCCTCATTGAATGTGTAGATCATCATTTTAAGTATTGTCAGAGGGGCACAAAGCCTCAGATATCCAGCTTTTATTGCTATATTGTGTTGTTGGGCCTATCTTGTTGCCATTAAAACAATAAAGGCAAATCTGTATGTGGTCTGGTCCATTAAAGTATGAAGGAAAAATTGTGTGTGTGGGGGAAATAGTACTATTAACTCATCACAAATAACACAATGCAAGTTGCTAACCATTTGCTAATTTTGTTTCGTGAAAGTCACCAATCGAAGCAAGCTTGAAACTCTTCTGGGATGCCTGTTAATAAAGCCAAATTAGCAGATGGACGTCTGGAGCATTTATTTGTTTTTTTTATCTCTTGGAATATTGGGCTTGTATGTAAAACTGAAGGCTAGTCTGTCAAACCTTAAAGCCAAACGCCAATGTATTTATTTTTTGTCTGACTTTTGGGTATATTACTTTTTATCTATGTGACACAGGTATAAAGTAGGGGAATAGGGGTCACCAGTACAAATCACAGAAGGCAATAAATGCTCCCAGGGTTCTATCTCCTAACAACTCACAACAAAAATGTTGATGGCTCTGTCCCCCGTAGAGACATTTTTTCCCCCCCTCACTTTTTTCCTTTAATCGGTCTCTGGGACAGGGAGAAATCTCCAGTTATTCAGGCTGCACTAAAATTCTGATTTTGCTTCTAACCCTTCTCCACTAACCAACACAAAAATGTTGTTTAAAAATGTAACCATATTAAAGACCAACCTTCGCAAACATCCCTATGCTTCAATGTGTTGCATCCAAAAACAGTATTACCCTATTTATATGCAGGCTTACACATGGGTAAATACAAACATGAATGAAGTTATGGTAATGTAGGTAGCCAAGGATAAATGCACCGTTTGCAATGGGTATGTTAACATGACTGAACACATAAAATTAAATTATTTAAAAATGTAGGAAATCTCGGAATCAAATGGAAAACATGAGTTCGTATGTGGTATATGCACGTTTGTTTATTTACAATGTACCTTTCTACCATCACAAAGAAATTCCTTCCACTATACCCATTACAAAATAAGACAAAAGCTACATGAGTAATGGAACTTATCTGTAGTGTATCTGTGTTTTATTTATGTGGCTTCATGAATTTTAAAGTGATGATGATCCAAACTTTATTTTTGTTTGATAGCAGGGAGAAGGACCTTTTGCATTTGTTTGCTGTCTGCTTTGGAGAGATTTCCTGACACTACTTTTGTTCCAATGAGCACTGTAAACAGGACAGGAAGTTAAAACGCTGCTTACTAAACAGAGTCCCGGTGGCAAAAGTCGCCGGGAGTCTGTTTAAACAGCTCCGATGCTGGCGACGTACACTGTACGTCGTCAGTCACGAAGGGGTTAACTTTTCCCTGTTCTGTCCCAAATGTTTCTGGCTGGGGTTTCTCTTTTCCTCATACATATGGGCTATAGCATATAGCTGTTACTAAGGATTTGCAAACCTCTCAGGCAACTTTGTTGAAGAGGTGGAACATAAATCTTAAAGTGTATCTTAACGCAAACACAATGTAATATATTT